TGGGTTGGGGGGGTGTTGACTTCTGAATGAAATAGCAGAATAAAATATGTGAGAAATAGAAGATATGGACACTGGTGTGAGTATATAGTCATGTTTCCACAGTCCACAACACACACGGGCAAGGCTAGTTTTATTATTTCGTATAGTCTCTTTTACTATGTGTCTATGTTCTAAACAAGACTTTTACATTTAGCTAAAAACGGTATGTTGTATAAAATTATAGGCTCATAGCATCGAATCAATAAAAATAAATGTAATAAGAAAAGCTGGAAGCTAGAAGCACAAAAAAAAAAAAAAAAGACTACAAGGAAAACAAGTGTTGAGGCACGTGGAAAATAATTCAAAGCTCATAAGGAGTAGCTATTAGCATTTTTATTGCATAAAGTATATCACAATAAGCCAAACTAACTAAATTACAAAGCACCAGTGATAAAAGAGATTCTGCATCATAAAATAAATATCAAATAGGACCATTAAGATGAAAGACACTGCGCTACCAGTCTGCAGAAAGACAGGAAGAATTGAGAAGCATTACATACCGATATCCCTCTCTCAGGGCATCTTTATCAGTTTTAATATATAACTTCTTATCTGCAGGTCTTTCTTTCCCATAATACTTGACTGCACAGAGAAAACAAGTCTTTTACTATGCTTAAAAACAAATATACACGAAACAGGGAGAGGGGTAACTTTATGTGAACTATGATCACCATAACTCACATTGTGGAAACTAAAGACAATGCAGACAATTCATATACATCATCAATGTGGAAAATAATAGCCATAATTCACATCTAGAGCCTTATTTTGTGCTTATTAAAAGAGCCATCACCACATGACATATTGACAGGTATTGAGCTATATATGCAGATTACACCTGTTTAGAAGGACCTTTGTCAAGCATGCATTTACATTATTCTAAGAACTTGTTCATAAGATGCATGGGCCTGCTAAATTATTCCTTTTGTTTTAAGTGATATTCCGCCAAAACAAAGAAGCTATCCAATTAATAAAGAACATAAAACTCAGGCCATTTTGTTTGAACAAATAAAGTGAAGCATCCGACAGACCAACAGTGTAAAAATCAAATTTCAAGATGAAAATGCAATCACCATTATCCTCTTCAGGACTTCCATTGACCCCAAATTCCCTTTGATTGAATACCAACAAGGCAACAATATCACAGCGGTTGAAAAAAGGTAGATTCAATCTTTAAATACACAATAGGACTCCAGTTCTCCATTGGTCACCTTGGGATCTTCTATAGAAAAATAAAAAAGGAAGGTTCTAGTTGCAAGCAATACAATAGTCTAGATGAACTTTACAGCCCGTTTCATAAATGGTCTTAAATTTTTGGCTTGGCAACGAGTTTGTGTGCACTACGTAATTAACTACAGCTAAATTTTGGAGGGAATGTTACCAACAAGTAAGCAACGGTTGTACGAATGATTGTAGCCCCCAACCTCCTTAGTGGAGAGGACTGTTCACCATCCAATTAGTTTAGGGCACCATGATCTGGCAAGTAAAAATGCTCCTTTAAGTGCACATGTCATGGTGCCCAACTTCTACAGAAGAACATTACTGTCCCTAAAACCTAATTGTAAACCAATTAATCAGAGATTCCAATTTATATTGCAACTTAAAAACAATTTTTTCTTCAGAAATTTTCAAGCTAGAATTAAGTTAATTATAGCTTCTTGAGTCGATTAATTCCAATCCCAAATACCTAAAACCTAATTCAATCCGACAAAAATATAACGGTAGAAAATATCGATTGATTCCAATCCCAAATATCTAAAACCTAACTTATTCCAATAACAAAATAATCGCAGAAATACATCGATTGAATCCAATCCCAAATACATAAAACCTAACTTAATTCGAAAATACAATAATGTCAGAAAAATTATTAAAAATGGAGTGAGTATAAGAAAAATACCATAATCATTTAAGAATTTCTTGTGTTTATCGTAGGCGTTGAGGCCTCTGATATGAGCTTGATAATGCCTGAACAAAAACATCCATCCAAATGCAACGATTAAAATTAATTAATAAATAAATAAAAAAAAATTGAATGATTAAAAAAGATAAGGAAGATGGAAAGTACTTACTGTTTTCTTTCTTCTCTGTCGAAAATCGCAGATTTCAAAGAACTGAAGGAAGCCATTGATGGAGGTGACACAATACTGAAAAAGGAAGATGGGTTTTGATTCTGTGTTTCAAAAAAAAAATATGGAGATAGATAAATGGGTCTATCTATTGGGCCTAACATAAACAATGTGGCCTGTTATTTTAACATTTTTGTAATGTGAGTTTGGTTTTCAATTCGAGTGTGCGGGTCCGGTTCGGTGAAGTGGAGTCGGATCGGGTTTATTATAAACTTGAATCATGCTAAATTATTGTATCTATATGAGTCGAAACTTGAATTTTACGGAGTATTATTTTTGGGTAGGGCCTGTTCTATTTAACTTAATTTCAGTTCAGTTCAGCTCAACTCCAAATAGTTCAGTTCAGCTCAGCTTAGCTCAACTCCAAATAGTTCAGTTCAGTTCAGTTTAACTCTTAATTTACTTCTCTCATAAACAATTTATTTCAATTTTCAATAAATCAGATTCAGCTTAATTTCAGTTCAGTTCAATTTAGCTCCAACCAGTTCAGTTCAGTTCCTAATTTCCTTATCTCATAAACAATTCAGTCCAATTTAGCTCTAATTAGTTCAGTTCAGTTCGGTTGTTTTCTAGTAAATGGAAACAACCCCTTAGTCGGATTAGTTTTTCACAACTCTAGTTAGTCTAATGTGGTTTAACATTGGCCTTGTTAGATAAAAGTTTAATTCTACTCTTATATGTTTAGCTTTTACTCATCAATAAGGAAAGATATTACAATAATAATTAAAATAATGCATTGACAAACTTTAAAATAGAATTGTTCTACCTAGAAAAAAAAATGCTATCTTTTGAAGCTAGCAAAGTTTATTGTCTTCTATTTAATTAAATGCTTAATAAAAATGAATTATTGTACGGAGTATCATTATTAAGCGTGTGTCATACAAGTTGTTTAGGGTAATTTTACCCCGCCACGTGGTCCAACCAGAGGACGACACGTGTCAGCTTAAGGTTGGCCCAAAGTGGACCAATCTCTGTCTGACACGTGTCACACAAGAAATTAGAGGGAAAAAGGCGGCCTTCAGGCCCAAATCCCGAGAAAGCCGCAAAGCGACGCAGCCCACCAATGATTAGGGCTCAGTGACCTAATCAGGGACACAAATCCCAACGACCCTATAAATAGGGAGAGGTCCCTCTTTTTGAGGGCGGGGTTTTTTTTTTTTACCATTTATTACAAACAGTCCCTGTGATAGAGACATCTGAGCTTGGAATCCGAGCAGATACCCACTTAAATTTCCGCATCGTTTTCTCACTCTACAAGTTTCTAACTTGTGCGTCGGAGGCGGAGCACCACCCAACCGGTGTCTCCGTTTGTTTTGCAGGTACAGCTCCCGCCGGATCAGTCTTCGTGTAGTAACTCTCCCGAGGGACAAAAACACCCAAAACACAAGTAACGTTATAACCTTCGACGCTTATAACTAGTTTGATCACACGAGCTTAATAATCAATATTCTATTTTAGGATATGTTCGCATTTATTGAACTGAGCCGAACTGAACTAATTAGAGCTAAAATGATTGGAGATGAACTGAACTGAATTGAATTGATTGGAGATGAACTAAACTGAACTGAATAGAGCTGATATGAATTTTATGAGAGAAGGAAATTAGGAGCTGAACTGAACTAGTGTCAAAGTTGTTTTGAGGTAGTGGGTTTTACACTTTTACTTTTTGCCTTGATACCTCAATAAATTCATGTTTTCTTCACCTAATTTTTGTTAAACTAATGCTCCATCCGTTTAAAATATTTGCTCCATTTCTCCACGCGCGGAGTTTTAGGAGAAATTGAAGAAAAAAAATAAAATAGGGAGGTAGTGGGGTAGTTGAGAAAATAAAAAATTGTAAAAAGCAAAAATAGTGGAAGAATAGGAGGAGAGAGAGTATTGTGTTGGGTCCACTAAGTGTGAAAAAAGAATTAAATATTGTAAAAAACTTTCCAAAATAGAAAATGGAGCAAATATTTAAAAACAATCGAAAAATAAAAGTGGAGCAAATATTTAAAAACGAATGGAGTATTATATTTATTATATTTAAACTACTTTTCAAATTCAAATACAGTGAAGAGTACACAACTAAAGAAGAATTATCTATCTATAATAAATGACTATAATAACATGACGTTGGTGTTACATTACATTTGGTACCATGATAATACCATTTAAAATATACTCCGTGTCCGTAAAATGATATCAACGCGTGTTACTACAATTATTCATGATTCAAAATATTATAGGCTAGTAATTCCTCACAACTTAATTGAGCTAACAATCTTATGCTCGATTTAGCAATTTATTTACAAATCTATCATTTATTGTAATTTACTTTCACCTTTCCTTTGAATTTTTGTCAGTAATCTGTACGACTGGAATGGAGGAAGGAGAAGAAGAAAAAAAAAAAAGTTACCGAGTACCGTATAATTGTACTCCGTATAAAGCTGTATAAAATTAATACCGTACTCCCTAATTAAATAATAATACTCCGTAATTAAAAAAAAAAAACACCCTGAAGGCGACAGAGGATAAGAAAAGTGGTTTGAACATTCATAAAAGTCAACACTTGTCAAGTTTTGATTTAAGGTTGTTAGATAGCACGAAGCCAACAAAAAAAAAAAGAAAAAAAAAGCCAAAGCCGATAAATATAGTCACATGAAGAATGTCTATTTTTTTTTTTTTAATTTATTTTAATTACTAAAATAATACTCATTATAGAATGAAGATACTCGCAGTTAATTAAAGTTAATGATAATGAACACTTGTTAAGCAGCACTTGAGTCAAGTTAGTTGTATAAAATGATGAGCAGAGACTGTCAGTAATTAACACTTTGAAAAATGACAAATCAAAGTCGTTTTCTTAACATTAAAGCCGGTTTATCAAACGAATAACTCTCTTACAACTCACTACTATACAACTAAGTTTATAATCCTGCTTTATTTATTCATCTTCAACTTTAGTTAACTTTAGTTATTGTGTTGTAACAAAACCCTACTAATTCCATATTTTTAAATTAATCATCGATAATCCCTTCTTCAATTCAAAGATCATGTATAAAAGTGCCCTTAAATTTTAATTCAAGGGCATCAATCACTTTCCTTTCAAAAACCCCAACTTTTGTTCATTTCCATAAGCCCTAATTATTAATTAAAGGTTTGATTTTTATTTTGATTTTGTCCAAGAATCAATCTTTTTTCATCTTTTTATCTAGGGTAAAATTTATGTTACTTGTACAATTGAGTTAATCTGGTTTGATCATAGCAGAAGTTTACGCAAATGAAGATGGCAGAAAGCGAGGTTAGTACATTTCTTGTTATCATTTTCATTATTGAATTAATTATCATCATTTATTAAAATTACAGGGGATTTTTATAAAAATGATGAGTTATGAAAATATTTTGACAGGAAAAGGGAAAGTGGGTGACTGAAAAATCATGCGAAATTTGCGGACAAAATGTAGGAAAAGCAGTAAATGGGGAAGCATTTGTAGCGTGTGATGAATGTGGATTTCCAGTTTGCAGGCCTTGTTATGAGTATGAAAGGAAGCAACCTTATCAGTCTTGTCCTCAATGCAAAACTAGATACAGGCATCACAAAGGTTAATTTTTTATTTACTTTTTCGGGTTTTTGATTGATTGCGTAATTAATTACTTTTTACTGCACGAATATTTTATTAAATTAAATCAAGTTCCGTCAAAGTTGTAACACAATTGAGTTACTCTAGTTTATTCTTTATTGTAGTTGTTTGTGAGGAAGCCCCAGTTAATCTCTGGGATAAACAAAATTTGTTTATCACGTGACATTTTGGTAAATAAATGAACAACTTTATTTAGTCATCATTAATGTAGGACCCACTTTTATGGAAAAAGTTGTTGATTTATTTACAAAATTGCCATGTGATAAACAAATTTTGTGAATCTCAGAGATTAACTTGTATTTACCCGTTGTTTAGCTTGTTTTAATCTATTATTATGTTATGGGACTGTTAACTTGAATGTGGGATGAAGTTGTTATAATGGAATGTGTTTGTTTAATGGATAATGGTTTTAGGAAGTCCTGCTGCTCATGGAGATGTTGAGGAGGATGCTGATTCTAATTTTAATCAGAATGATAAACTTAATACTGCACACCGCTCGCTTGGCTATGAGCTAGGGAAGACTGCTGCTCCTAGCTATGCCATTGCCCGGCGTGAGGTGTCTGGAGAGTTATCTACTGGATCGCCTGATCGCTATTCTGTTGGCTCTGCCGGAGTTTATGGAGGAAACAAATGTATGTTGTGTAATCACATTACTTTCAATATTGTATCCATGTACCCTGGATAGTTTTGTTTCTGTTTCCTTATTACTGTACTTTTGCAGCTCATACCGGAACAGCTGATATTTCCAGAGAATTCGCCATGCCTCCCTTGGGTAATATAGCCTGGAAAGAGAGAGTTGATGGATGGAGGATGAAGCAGGATAAGAATGTTTTACCTGCTAATAGTACTCGTCCTCCGTCTGAAAGAGGTGCTGATACTGATGCTGCCACTGATATATTAGATGAGTCTTTACTGTAAGTTCATATATCTACTTTTTAGCTTAGGCTGTTTTTGTCTGATATTCATATTCTTACACATTTTTTAGAATATAGTTGTATGATTGTGTGATTGAACATTTCTGAATCATCATTTGTTGATTAGATTTGCATACTTTGTTCCCTTGAAAGCTGCATTGCACATAGATAAGCCAGTTTAATGTCTTGATTCTTCCTCGAATTTATGCAGGAATGATGAAGCTAGGCAGCCACTGTCAAGAAAGGTCCCCATCCCATCATCTAAAATTAATCCTTACAGGATGGTCATTGTTCTCCGCCTTGTGATTCTTGGAATTTTCTTTCACTATCGTATTACTAATCCTGTTCCCGGTGCCTATGCTCTTTGGCTCGTATCAGTTATATGTGAGATATGGTTTGCTATATCCTGGATATTGGATCAGTTTCCCAAATGGCTTCCTGTAAACCGTGAAACCTATCTCGACAGGCTTTCTCTAAGGCAAGGCCCTTTTCCTTAACAAGATTCCATCTGCTACTTATTCATTATCGATCTTACCATCTATGCTTTGTATGTCACTAAAAGTGGTTTGATGTTGATAATAGATATGATCGTGAAGGGGAGACTTCTCAATTAGCTGCTGTCGATATATTTGTTAGTACTGTCGATCCCTTGAAGGAGCCTCCTCTTGTGACAGCTAACACAGTTTTGTCCATTCTGGCTGTTGATTACCCAGTTGACAAAGTTGCATGTTATGTGTCTGATGATGGAGCAGCCATGTTAACATTTGAAGCTTTGTCAGAGACAGCAGAGTTTGCAAAGATGTGGGTTCCTTTCTGCAAGAAGTATGACATTGAGCCCAGGGCTCCTGAATGGTATTTTGCTCAAAAGATTGACTATCTGAAAGATAAAGTTCAGACATCATTTGTCAAAGATCGCAGGGCTATGAAGGTAAGATTGTTTGTCTATAATGGACGCGCTTTTGCTTTGCTATATATAGAGTATATATTGTCACCTATTATTCATTTGTTGCAGAGGGAATATGAGGAATTTAAAGTCCGCATCAATGCTCTGGTCGTCAAGGCACAAAAAGTCCCGGAAGAAGGATGGGTGATGCAAGATGGCACCCCTTGGCCAGGAAACAATATCAGGGATCATCCTGGCATGATTCAGGTAACCTACTTTGTAGTTTCACTCTTCCTTAACTGAATTAGAACCTTCCATCTTCACTTGTTATATCTTCTTATTTGGTCGTATACTGGTTTCTTTGGCTGGTTTACATTATAGCATTAGACTCTAGACTTTATTGTGTGCCAAGATTATTTGGTCTAGTATTTAATATTATTTCTGGATTCATGCTGTTTCTCTTTTTTATGCATTTTAATCCCATTCTTTAATTTGAATTGCAGATTTTCTTGGGTCAAAGTGGAGGGCTGGATACTGATGGCAATGAGCTGCCACGTTTGGTCTATGTTTCTCGTGAGAAGCGTCCAGGCTTCCAACATCACAAGAAGGCTGGTGCTATGAATGCCCTTGTTAGTATAAATTTCAAACTTATGTGATTCGTGACTTAATTGTTAGGATGTTTGCCTGTCTCTATACTAATATACCACATGATGCCTTGGCAGGTTCGAGTCTCAGCAGTTCTTACCAATGGGCCATTCTTACTAAATCTTGACTGTGATCACTACATAAACAACAGCAAGGCCTTGAGGGAAGCCATGTGTTTTATGATGGATCCAAACCTTGGAAAATATGTTTGTTATGTGCAGTTTCCGCAGAGGTTTGATGGTATTGATAGGAATGATAGATATGCCAACCGCAACACTGTTTTCTTTGATGTAAGTCTAATACGAAGTATATTTCTCAAGTTTGTTGCTATAGCAGTGTTCATTATTGTCCTTAATAGGAATAGTACCACCCTCTAATGGTTTCAGCAATAGTAGTACTACGAAATACCAATGCTGCTTCTTGATTTCAGATTAACTTGAGAGGATTGGATGGCATTCAAGGCCCAGTTTATGTGGGTACTGGTTGTGTATTCAATAGAACTGCGTTATATGGTTATGAACCCCCTCACAAGCCCAAGAACAAGAAAAAGGGATTGTTTACATTACTCTGTGGCGGATCACGGAAGAAAAGCTCAAAAGCAAGTACGAAGGGCTCTGACAAAAAGAAATCTAGCAAGCATGTTGATCCTACTGTGCCAGTTTTCAATTTGGAGGATATTGAAGAAGGCATTGAAGGTATGATGAACACCATATGTCATTATCTTTAGCCGACAAAACTCTAGTTGTTTAGCTTGTGATTTTGGTGAAGCAACCTTGGTAAACAATGCGCTGTTTGGAGTAGGTCACTTTAATTTCCATACTTTATTATGGACTTTTTAAATTTTCCCTTTCTTAGTTGAGAGTTGGTGGGTCTTTTACCCTTAGATTTCATGTGATGGTGAATTGGTGATAGTTGATCCTTACAAACTTCTGAAACAGGTACTGGATTCGACGATGAAAAGGCTATGCTCATGTCTCAGGCTAGTCTGGAGAACAGGTTTGGTATGTCTACTGTCTTTGTAGCTACCACACTAATGGAAAATGGCGGAATACCACCAGACACGGACCCTGATACGCTCCTAAAGGAGGCCATTCATGTCATTAGCTGTGGTTATGAAGACAAAACAGATTGGGGAAGTGAGGTGCGTGAGCTTTTCACCATTTTCTCCCCCCCTTTTTTTTTTAATTGTGCTCAACATTTTGGCTAAGTTGGATTTTGCATGTGTATTGAGGCAGCCATACATTGTGTAAATTGAAAATAGTGGCAGTAGAGTTTTGCTGTCATCTCATTAACATATAATGACTAAATGACTTCTCTCAATTTTTTATTTATTTTTTTTATTTTGGGCGGTTATAATTTGTTGTTCAAAGTTCTTATAAGAGCTACTTGAGCTAATTGATCAATGCCACAGTACTTTGGTCTGGTCGTCCTTGATTTGCAATTGGTGAATAATTGATGACTAGTCTAATTTATTTGCTTTCATGTTATAATGTCTATGGTTGCACCTCCAGGAAGGTTTATAGCCTTGGTTTGATATTTTTGCTTGGACTCTAAATCACTAACTTTTTTTTTTGGCCTGCAGATTGGATGGATTTATGGTTCAGTGACAGAAGATATTCTGACGGGTTTTAAGATGCATGCTCGTGGTTGGAGATCAATTTACTGTATGCCAAAGCGTCCAGCCTTCAAAGGTTCTGCACCTATTAACCTTTCTGATCGGTTAAACCAAGTGCTTCGGTGGGCTCTTGGCTCTATAGAAATTCTTTTCAGTCGGCACTGTCCTATTTGGTATGGATATGGTGGAAGGCTCAAATGGCTTGAACGCTTTGCTTATGTGAACACCACTATTTATCCGATCACTTCCATTCCTCTTGTTTTATACTGTACTATTCCCGCTGTCTGTCTGCTGACAAGCAAGTTCATTATCCCGCAGGTATTTTCTTCATCCTTTAAAAGTTAGCCACATAATAAATAAGCAGCTATCTAAGCTCTTTATCATCTCACTGTCAAGCATGTAACATGTTCTTGATTTGGGATCAAATTATTGACTCGAGTTTATATTGTTTAATAATGCTAATATCTGCACAATGTTTAAATGCATGCTCCTGCACATAACTTGTGATATTCTGAATATTGAATGTTATTGAATGTTGGTTTGGTTGACAGATCACAAATCTGGCAAGTATTTGGTTTATATCCCTCTTCTTATCCATCTTTTCAACGGGTATATTGGAGATGAGGTGGAGTGGTGTAGGCATAGACGAATGGTGGAGAAACGAGCAGTTCTGGGTGATCGGTGGTGTTTCTGCTCATCTGTTTGCAGTGTGTCAGGGTCTGCTAAAAGTTCTAGCAGGCATCGACACCAATTTCACAGTGACCTCTAAGGCCTCAGATGAAGACGGTGATTATACAGAGCTATACATGTTCAAGTGGACAACCCTGCTTATCCCTCCCACCACCCTTTTGATCATAAACTTGGTGGGAGTAGTTGCAGGCATCTCAAACGCAATTGACAGCGGGTTTCAGTCATGGGGTCCGTTGTTTGGGAAGCTGTTCTTTGCATTGTGGGTGATTCTACATCTTTATCCTTTCCTTAAGGGTCTAATGGGACGTCAAAACCGAACCCCAACTATAGTGGTGGTGTGGTCAGTCCTCCTAGCATCCATATTTTCTCTGTTATGGGTTCGAGTGAATCCGTTCATAACGAAGGTGTCGGGGCCTGATCTGGAGGTCTGTGGCAACTATTGTTAACTGAAGAGATAAGAGATTTAGATGAGATGATGATAGATTGTGGAATTAGTCAATAATAGAGTAGTGATGTCCATATAAGTAAGTATATTAATGATTAGATGATATTATTATTGGTTAGGTAGCTAGCTATTTACTCAAGTCAGTACTGATGTGCTGTAGTGCTGCTACAAATGTGAGCATGGAAGGCAAGCAATACTATTACATTGTTTGTGACTTGCCGCTTATTATTGTGTATTCTCTAATCTGTATAACTATTATCATTATTATTATTGGATTCATATACTACTTGGTATTATATTAAATATTATTGGATTGGACGAGATTTCTGTAACATATTAACATATACTTCATGAAAATCAATATTGATTTTGCTGGATATAATTCATATAAATAACAAATTTGTGTCTGAATTGAAGAAAAAGTAGTGGAATAGAAAGATCACACGTGAGCTTGAAATAAGAATAAAAATAAAAAATAATTATGATCTTGTTAAATGAGTAGCCAAGGCATCAGTAAAATACGGAGTAGTATTATTGCTTAAAATGCATGTTAAAATTACGCGTCAATTGATGTAGTTAAGTTATTTTACTTTAATGTTTCCACTTTAGCCTTCGTATTACTCCCTTCACCTTTTTATTAAATTTCTATTTCTAACATATATTCCTCATATAATAGAGAGGAATAAGAATCTATTTAAGAGACGGAAGGAATACTTTGCATTATTTAAACATTAAAATGTTAATTTATTTATTAGCTTTTGCAAAAAAAAAAAAAATATCTTGTACAGAATCAACAAGATGACGAAAAAGGCAACCCAAAGTCCAATGGATAAGTTAAAATAATTGGATCGATCCATACAGATATGGCCCCTCAAGAAAGCCATACCCAAATATCAAATCTGTACATATCCTGTTAAAAGGAGAGGGTATACTCTGATCCATTTAAAATTATTTTATTATTATTATTTTGTCTTGTGGAAAATGAAAATAATTTTATTTTGTAATAATAATAATAATCAGCTTGTTACTTACGTGGCTTCATAAGAAGGAAGATAGCTGTCTATAAAGACGCGTGGCAATTCGTCCTTAATTCAGATAATTACATATAAATCTATTCTACTACTATGAGCTACTATTGCTACTAATCCCTTCATTTTCTAAACTAATAATATCTACATTACTAAGCTTACCTTATTCCTCAAAAACTTGTAAACTTAAAATACCATATCATATAAAGATTTTGAACAATCTTTGATTAGCTTCTATTAATCATAATTTATCTCAAAGTAACCAACTTTGTTAGTTAATTGAAGCTACGTAATAATAATGGCAGTCACTCAACAGCCTATTCTTTCTAGGCTTGACCGTCTTGATAATTTGGTAAGTACCTTGTTTAATTTATATACTACCTCCGTTACATATTATCTGTAATGATTTGACATTTTTTCTCTCTATTTTATGTTAACTCGTTGCAAATAATATGTAACAGAGGTAATGATTTTGTTTTTATATGAATTACATACGAAATTACGAATTATACTACTTGTTTTTATTAATTTGGTATGTTGTTTCTTATTAGATGAGGCATTTAGAGAACCTAAGAGGGTCAAACCGATCTCTAAAGAGTTCATCACCATCCACACCATCAAGTGGCACTCGTACAAGCGATGTCGAATTCTTTTCGCCTAGGAGCCTTGACAAGTTACATTGCCGTCCCATTGACGATGTTATTGTCGAAACCGAGCACAAAGGTACCCTCCTTGATAGGGTTTCCCTCATCGAACACCGCCTTCTCAAGGTATATGTAGTTCCAAATTTTGTGTTGTTTGACCATTGTTTAAAGGACTAACTCAACAAAAACCTTAAGCGGGTGGTTGACTATAGTAATTCAAAATTTTGTGTTGTGTGACTATTGTTTTTATAAGTATTAGAGAGCCAACTCAACAAAAAGTTAAACGGGTGGTTGAGTTCCATGAATATGTTTTACACTCTTATCGATAATCAAGTAGAGAGGAACTGATAGTGATAACTTTCAGTTATGCATGCAGCTTGAAGAAGAAATGGAGAGCGAAAAGCAAGAGAAAGATCGAGAGGAGAAGTCGTCTTCACATAGTCATAAGAAAATCGGGTTAAAGCAATTTGTGAAATCTTGTGTTAAAGGAAGCAAGAACAAGTCAAATAATAAATAAGTACTACTATTAATCTCGTTTTACTAGGGATGTTAGTACGTAATTATTACTTGTATTTATTAGAGCAACCAAAGACCAGGGTCTTAGTTTTTCTGTTGTTTTTTTAATTTCTGTTTGTAATGTTTGGATCTTCTCAACCTTCCTTTTTACTGTAATATATTATTTGTTGAAAGGAATCTTTTGAAGCTTCTTCAATGCGTGTAACAATATTGGATAATATGTCCGAGTATATACTATAAGTATATAGTATATGGTGGCATCATTCTGCTTCTTTAATTTGGCTTCACGTACCTTTTAGATTTGTTTTTGTTTTATTTCTAAATTAGATTAAAATCCGTCTCAAAAATCCAAATAATCATCTCGAAATCACAAACAGATTACTTAGACCTCCTTTTCGAAGGTTGTTTTAAACTACTAAACGGAAGAGGTATGTTGAAAGTCGGATCTCAGTTACACAATTGATAGATTGCAAGACCTCTTGGAAGGTTGTCTTAAACTACCACATGGAAAAGGTATGTTGGAAGTCAGATCTCGCTCATTCACAATAACGGTCATAAATTTGTAAATTCGATTTGGGGCCTATACACATTTACTTAATTTCACATCAATTAAGCTCAGCTCTTAAGTTTTCTCTTTCATAAAATATTCAGTTCAGCTCAGCTTCAATCAATTCAGTTCATTTCAGCTCCAATCAGTTCAGTTTAGTTCAACTCATTTCAGTAAATGTGAATAGACCCTTGATATGTATTTGTTAAGACTTTTAGCTGTCAAATCTCACTCATCCAAACTATGTATATAATAATTGCAATTAAGATAAAAAAATTAAAGTTAAACAAAAGAAAAAGGTCGAAACCAGTCTAATTTTCGAACAAATTGTACTAGAAATTTGATTACTTTGTATTATATACCTAAACAGCTATTTCGAACAAACTATACTAGAAATTTGATTACTTTGTATTATATACCTAAACAGCTATTTCGAACAAACTATACTAGAAATTTGACTATTATATACTAGAAAATATTAAAATGCGTGGACTACTCCGTATTTTAAAATGGGTAAAAACATTTGGCCTCACATATAAATTATTTCATTATAAACCATCTACTTCGTAATAGATAATATCTATGATGTGTATTGAAATACTCCCTCCGTTTTTAAATAATTGCTCCATTTTTCTTTTTCGGTCGTTTTTAAATATTTGTTTCATTTTCTTTTGGTTTTTTACTATCTATTTTATTATTATTATTATTATTTTTTATTTTCACCAACCCCACTATTTTATCTATTTCATTATTTTTTTTTTTTTACTATCTATTCTATTTTGTGTGTGTTCAATCACATGGTGTGACAAGAAGTGATCGTAGGCGGACTGGTTCAAAGGAAACGAAAGCCACTTATGTGTTGACTGGGTTGGATTGGGCTGATGCTTGTTCAAAACCAATAATGTTAGATCGGACCTAGCAAACTATTTGGGCCGGGTCAAAAATTAACTACAATTCTTAAAGTACTTTGTCAACTTTGGGCCACAATTAAAACCCACCCAAATTTGGGCCGGGTCGGGCTAAGCCAACTTGATCACTGCTACTGTAACAACCGACAACATTTGTCTTTTTTTTTGTGTTCCACCCGTTTCACCCTTTAGGATAATTTGGATTCGGGGATCAGTTTTGGGTTGTACAACATTTGTCTTTAAAAATAATACTACATCCGTTAAATGTTATGTGCAAACTATTGGAATAAAAGAGTAGAGAATAACTCAAGTGGTTAGAGATTCTAGGAAAAAACAAAAAGCAATCAATCAATCAATCAATCAATCAGTACATGAAAAAAAAAATTAATCAATCTGCAAAAATTACATAAAACAAAAAATCAATTACGAAGTCCTTGAATTAAGTCTAAAAATAAATAAATTAAGAGTATATTATTTATTTTTTGAGTATAAAATCCATCAATTAATACATGTTCTAAATTTTCAATCAATGAAATAATTTATACAATGAAAATTATCTTTCATAAATTATTAACTTAATTTATGAATAATATATATAAGTAAATTTAATATTGTTTAATTTTAAATTCCACATTAGTATTGATGTTCATGTGTTAACGATGAAATATTGTCAATGAAATTTCATTAGTTGGGATAACGAGCTCAATTGTCTAGCTTCATCATTTTTACATCCGCGGATGTTTAACATTTTTTTCCATTATATACATGTAACAAAAGCATATTAATTAGTTAAAATATATAATTTCATAAATTATCGCATGCATAATGTATATAGATCTTAAAGGCCAGTTACTTATATATGTAAATTGCAAGTGCATCTGTGCATATTAGAATTTGTGTTATTTAATTTTCTTTTTTCAACCATTCTTGAAAATTTCTGATATACGGAGTATTCAATTGTAAAAATACCCTTCAAAAATCGATAAAGCCCAAAAAAAAAAAAAAAAAAAAAAAAAACATTAAAAAAGAGCAGGCTTAAGAGCAAAACATGTATGCTTTTTTTTTTTTTTTTTTTTTTTTTTTTTTTGATAAGAAAAATACAAAAGTTAGGTAAGTCTTCTCTCAAGACTATACCTTAACTTATCTAAAGAAATAAAATAAGAAAAATTAGCATCTACATTAGGGTCAATGTTTACATAGCCTGAAATTTGATGACCTATAGTTGCAACATAATCTGCTGCACGATTAGCTTCTCGATACACATGGCAAGAAGAAACAACCTCAAAGTGAGCCAACAACTTCTTAATGTCATTCATTAGCAATTGAATTTTCCAAGGACAACGTGCTTTATCCTGCAAAATATTTATAATTAAAAGGTTATCACCTTCAATAAAAAGTTTTCGTATATTATGTTCAATAGCTAAGAGAAGACTGTTGTTACACAGAGCTGTAGCTTCTGCAATAATAGGAGTCAAGGTACCAAGATTATAAGCACGACTAACAACATTATTTCCTGTATAATCTCTAATAACAACTCCGGCTGACCCAAAGTTATTACAAACAGAACCATCAAAATTAATTTTGAAAACACCAGGGGCAGGAGGGGACCAAGCTACTTGGATGGTTTTATGGTAAAGAGGAGAATGGGTCTTGGGAACAATGTCATTAAAAGAGTCAAGATGAGAACGAATATTCCATTCTGTAAATATTTTGAAAGCTCTAGAATAAATACTCATATTAGTAGAGGGGATATGACTAAAAATAAGAGCATTACGACCTTTCCATATACTCCATAAAGAAACAATAATCTTTTTTACAGGAAGGTTAACATTATGACTAATGTCCCGAAAAAGAGTAAGGAGATTCGGGGTATTAACTTGAGTTCCCATCCAATGACTAACGATATCTGCATCCCAATACTGTCTAATAAATGGACAATTTAGAAACAGATGATCCTGTGTTTCAGCATGTGAATTACAAAAGGGGCAAATATGAGGGTAGGGGTGGGACTTCGGTCTGGCAGTTCGGTTTGACCTCGGTTTGAGTCGGTTTCGGTTTGGAGCGGTTCGGATTGAAACGGTTTAGTTTAGCTGGCGAGTCGGTTTGGTTCGGTTTGGGTTAGTCACGGCTCGGTTTGGTTTCGGTTTATTTCTTTGCGGTTTAAATTCGGTTTGGGTCATAAGCGGGTCGGTTTATAAACGATTCGGATTATGTCGGTTCGGTTTGATACGGGGTGGTTTAAGGGGCGGGTTTACCCGGGTCAATGTCAGTTCGGTTTACAAACGGTTTGGATCAAGCCGGTTTGGTTTGAAATGGGTCGGTTTAGGGGCGGATTTACCCGGGTCAATATCGGTTCGGTTTATAAACGGTGCGAATCATGTCGGTTCAGTTTGAAATGGTCCGGTTTAGTAGAGGGTTTACACAGTTCAATTGGTTCGGTTTATGAACGGTTTGGATCATGTCGGTTCGGTTTATAAGCGGTTTGGGTCATGAATTGAATTCATAATTGTTTTAAAGATCGCGTCATGACCATGATTTAATGAGTTGATACTTATAATACGATAAGTCGATAATTAAGAATGTACAAATATTCAATTAGATTGATCAACAAGTGTTTTAAACTTTTAAGTTTTAATAATCAGATACGTAAATATGTTTATCGATTGTAGATTTGTAGTACATACCAATAATTCAATGAGGCAATGATACTTATGATAGTATGATAATGATACCAACCATACATTCGTACGATATGATATACATAATAATTAATCTATAATTACATATACATAAACAATATCGTATTGAATCAATTTCCATTTCCAAACATTGCATTTCTTATAAATTATAACTTACACGAGATTAAATGGATTCGTTATTTAGTTTGTTACTTTATTTAGATTACTAACTCAAACAACTTAATAAGTTAAATGGACGAAATCACGAAATCATGACCATGATTTAATGAGTTGATACTTATAATACGATAAATCGATAATTAAGAATGTACAAGTATTCAATTAGATTGATCAACAAGTGTTTTTAAACTTTTAAGTTTTAATGATCAGATATGTAAATAACTAAATATGTTTATCGATTATAGTACATACCAATAATTCAATGAGGCAATGATACTTATGATAGTATGATAATGATACCAACCGTACATTCGTACGATATGATATACACCATATACATAATAATATAATTACATATACATTAACAATATCGTATTGAATCAATTTCCATTTCCAAACATTGCATTTCTTATAAATTATAACTTACACGAGATTAAATGGATTCGTTATTTAGTTTGTTACTTTATTTAGATTACTAACTCAAACAACTTAATAAGTTAAATGGACGAAATCACGAAATCACTAATTAAAGTGGTGATGAAAGCATTATGCAATACTAATGTACGAATAGTCAAATATACAACGGTTAGATTGAATGCCCATGAAAAACAATGGTTAGATTTTCATTACTTTATTAGTTATTAGTATTATTACTTATTAAGTTATTATTAGTTTTATAGTTTATTATATATACTAATATACAATCACAGACTCACAGATGTCAGATATTGTCATATTGATGAGAATTAAGCCATTAACTCATTAAGTCATTAACTATGTCGTATTGAATCAATTTCAATTTTGAAACATTTGCGTTTCTTACAATTTATAACTTATAAGTAATAAACTAATAATAATAATAATAATAATAATAATAATAATA